GGGATCTATTGGCAGCTGCTGATAATAACATTCATCATTATGGTTTACTAATTGTTGTCTTTTTGTCCTCTTGGTTGCACTGCCACATCTACAGTAGCGCAGAATGGACAGAGGAAACATGATTGGGCCTCAAGGTTTTTGCAGCCAATATACATTCTCCTACAAACTTGGGATAGGAGGGTGAGTGAACAAGTTATCCATTGGTTGGAACCTACCATTGTTAGACGTACTAAATCCTGCACACTGCTCCTTCAAATGGACAATGTGAACATATGTCGCCATTTTGTAATTTCTGTTATTTTCAGTTGAGAATGTTTCAAAGTAATCTTAAAAAATTAAACTTACTTTTTGTTTATACTGTTTATAAGTAGATGTTTAAATATTAAATGCTGTATTCATTAATGGTTGTATAATTCTACAAATATTTTTATATTTTAAGTTTTAACATTTTTATAGTAATTGTTCCCTACAGAACATTTTGTGCTGTCTTTTTATTGAACGTCTTTGATTGGAAAATGTTAGAAAAAAGCTGTAAAATAACAGTATTCTACCTGTAGAACTTTAGGTTCTGCATTTACTTTTGTGTTTGATCATAAAAATCTAATAAAAAAAATGTAAAAAACAGTTTTTCTCATCAGAACTTTATTTAAGGTATTTGAATGTAACATTTTAAGACAATGGATTTTGAAAAGAGAGGAAACATCTGTAACACTACAATGTTTTCCTGTAAAATCTTTAAGGACAATTCCTGTTTATTAATTGCTTTAGCACTTTATTTCAGTGAAAGTATTTTACTTTAATTTAAGGGTTTTTGTTTGGCAGTTTTCTTTTTTACAGTGTAGCCTATTTGATTTGACCCAACTGGACTCACGGGTGAGATGCTTTTTGTGCATTTTTGCTTGCTGTATGTGGATGACGTGATTAGTCATGTCATCCAATAGTATTTGACAGGAAACCATTGTATGAGCTTCCTCCAGGAAGGACCGGAGCTGGGGACTACAGTTATGCACGTCTATCATTGTAAATTGATAGTAAATTGCTGGCTACTCATCTGCATTACTTTCACAGTACACATTGTACATTCACAGTAAATTACTGGCAACTCTTTTGCATTACTTTCACAGTACACATTGTACATTCACAGTAAATTACTGGCAACTCCTGCATTGCTTTCACAATAGAAATGTAAAAGTACAGGCCCTTGTTGTAATGCATGTACAACAAAATGATGTAATTCCCCAGTAACATACTGTAATATCACAGTAATTCCTTAGTCATTGAAGCTGTGAAGTTACAGTATACAGTTTTACCTTTACAATAATGCATTGTAATATCATGGGTGTGAAATTACAATACATTGCTGTGAAGACATTCACAGCAATGTATTGTAATATCATGGGTGTGAAATTACAATACATTGCTGTGAAGACATTCACAGCAATGTATTGTAATATCATGGGTGTGAAATTACAATACATTGCTGTGAAGACATTCACAGCAATGTATTGTAATATCATGGGTGTGAAATTACAATACATTGCTGTGAAGACATTCACAGCAATGTATTGTAATATCATGGGTGTGAAATTACAATACATTACTGTGAAGACATTCACAGTAAATTGCTGTGAATCTTACTGTGAAAGTCATGCAAAATTTGGCCAAGTATTTATTGTGAATTCACGGTGAATATTTTTACAGTGTAGCATTACAGCCTTAGCCGTGTCATTTTTATTAGCCTTAACATGAAGTAACATTAAAGGGGACCTATCATGCAAAATGCACTTTTGTACGTCTTTTATACATGAATATGTGTCCCCGGTGTTCCAGGGAGCTCACCAAGTGTCAGAAAACACAACCCTCTCTATTTTCCTCCATACCCAAATATCTGAAAAAGGGGCTGCAACGGATCTGATAAAAACTGATCCAGATTTGAACACTTTACTGACGTCAGTAAAGTGGCGCTACGGCTATTGGGCCAACTCTCCACCTATCAGGGGAATGTGGGGTTGGGCCACGGCCGGCCATTGCCGCTCGAAAGCGCTGGAGACGCTGTAGTACATATGCCAGGCCTGTAAGTGGCGCTGTAGTCTGCCACAAAAGCAGTGAAGAAGACTTCCCGCGCATGGTTACCATGGTTACCCTTCTGTTTATTCTCCGCTGTGGCTTTTTTTCTCCCTCCCCGAGGCAAGCGTTTGCTCCCGCTGCTTTAATTCAATGCAATCCCTCCCCGTCGAGGCAAGCACAGTAATAATTCTCTCCGGTTAGTCCACCAGCAGATGACAAACACCCACCTCTCCGCCTCTTCCAAGGAACGAGGGGACCGTGCTACAGAGTTTCAGTTAGGTTTTCTTTCGCCGGTCAAGATGTCCGTTAAAGTTTAATTCTTCCGGACAAAATTAGAAAAGTGCCGGTCAAAGGTCTTCTTTGTTATTTATTGAGCTTTAAAACAAATGAATAACGACTCTATAGGCCTATAATAATAAAATAAAACACGGAGGACGGAGATCTATTTTTCTCCCACTCTTCTGACTTCATCAGAGCACGGCTCCCCTCTCCTGCAGGGGGGCGTGGTCAGCTGCAGCTCACAGAATCAGCCCCCTGCAAACACAGAGCTGGAGAACAGCACATAGAGCGAAATGAGGCATGGCTAAAATGCATGATCTGTTTGGTATTTTGAAAACAGAAACGTATAAATATACCTTATATAGGTATGGCCCTACAATATATCATTTAAATATAGCATGATAGGTCCACTTTAAGTAACCCAAAATGTTAAACAGTAAGAGTAGTAGTCATATTTCGTGAACCCTTTGAAGAGTACTGTCACACCAACCCACTCTCTTCAGTCTGCGTACAAATGACACGACTTTAGACATTAGAAATGCGTGCAATAGATACGCAGAAGTCCGATTTTGCGTGCATATGATACGTCACGTTTTGTCCGGTCGGGTCTTGGTAGACCGGAAGCTGTGTGGTTCATAAAAACATGTTCTTACTCAATACCAAGCCACGATTATTGTTTTTTTTATTTTAAATCGTATAATGTTTGACTTTTTTTGCCGTCCGTTAGGAAAAGAAATGTGGCTCAGAGCCTCAGAATACTGAAATCTGTATTTTTTTTAATCTTTTTTTCCTTCTAATTTGTTATTCTTTTCTAAATAACACACTGTTATTTACTCAACAATAACACACAATTATCCTTGTTTTTATTTATTCGTTTAATTCTATAATCTCTGGCTTTTTAGCCATTCCTCAGGAACTGAATTTCAAAATAAAGTCACCGGAAACAGACGTAGGCCTATAAGGGACATTTCGAGCATCATTGCGATACGTACATGATACACACCCACTGAACTGATTACCCAAGATCCTCAGCTAGAAGCTTGGTGATACGCACAGCTTCCGGTCTACCAAGACCCGACCGGACAAAAAGAAGTGGTGCAGGCACGAAACGTGGCGTATCATATGCACGCAAAATCGGACTTCTGCGTATCTATTGCACGCATTTCCAATGTGTAAAGTCGTGTCATTTGTATGCATGCAGACTGAAGAGAGTGGGTTGATCACACCGGTGTGATCATTCTATAATACACTGTTTAAGCCCGGATGCTCCCGGGGGAGACATGCTAACGCTAACGCTACAATAGCATCGGCGATCTTTTCTACTTCATGCTATCTACACAAATGGTTAACATTGAACATTAAAAAGATCAGGCAGTTCAGAAGAATCGAAGGAAGGCAGGCAGGCAGCTTTGCATGACCTTCTTCTGGACGTGTTTCATTGTGGTGAGGGTGAGGGTGAGGGTGAGAGGGTGATAGTGAGGGTATGTCAATCCCTTTTTTGGCAAGACAGTAGTGACGGCCATCTTGGTGACGTGTGTTGTTGTGCAAGACCAGAGATGTAGTTCATTGAGCGGTTTCACACAAAAAAATTGTTACTTCACAGTTTTACGGCAAAAAAATAAAATGTTAACTTAAAATTATCTTTTAAATTGACAAACATCATATGTGTAATTCGTGGCACAATTCAAACGGGATCGAAAGATAACTTTTCTCTCGCCATTGACTTCAATACATAATTTTTCCGAAATAAGGTCCCATGGAGGTCCACCGAAAAGGGAGGGACTTCGCCTCTCAATACCAATAGCAGCACTGTTTGTCCAGCAATACCGTCCAATCAGGTACCGGTACTGACTTAGTACCGGTTCTCGATACCCATCCCTAGTCATTATGATGTATTTTTCCATTGTGTAACAGGTGAGTATATTGTCATTATAACACAACTTATGATAACACTCCTGCACACCATGACACAGCTTTACAATGAACATCCAGACCAATAATTTACCTGGTAAACACGTGACAGATGTGTGCTGTACTCATCCACTGCATTAACAAAAAGCACGAACCAATATGGACGTTCATAGAGTTCTGGTGGAGGGATGCAATAAGCAGTTTCATTTCTTATGAATGCTATGACTCTGAAATAGGTTGTCAGGCATTTTAATCTAAGGGATGATATCTAAATTATTAATATTGCTGTAAAAAATGTGTGTACTCCAATGATAAACAGAAGAAAAAATATTTTTGAGTTATGGTCAGTTAAGACAAAATTATTATTTTATTTCAAAAGTAAAATAGTTTTTCATTAGGTCATACTTTAAATGTTATTTGTAAATATGTATAACATTTAAAAAGTCAAAAAGGTGGCTTTAAAAAATGTAAATATGTAAATCCTGAGGTGACAAAGAAGAAGAAGGTAATATGAATTATACTTCAGCAAAAATAAATGATGTCTGTTTTCCTGCAAACCATTGACATGAAAGCCAGAACTCAAGAGGGTTAGGTTATGTTTGCTTTACCTTCACAATAGGTAGCCCCATTCACATGCTGAACAACAAACACCTTTTGATGTGAAAATAAAATAGTTACTTCTGAATTATTCTTTAATATGAATGAAGCTGCAGTTTGACCAGCTCAAGGAAGAAACCGCACAGTAACGTAACCAGGTGGTGGTTTATTAAATTCATGACACTGTTTACATCCCACAAAAAGCATTATTTAGACCCCCACCACATTTTCACACCACAACATAGATACGTCGTCATCATTGTGACGTCGAGAGAGAGAGAGAGAGAGAGATGAGAGAGAGGAGAGAGAGAGATGAGAGAGAGAGAGAGAGAGAGAGAGAGAGGAGAGAGAGAGAGAGAGAGAGAGAGAGAGAGAGAGAGAGAGGAGTGAGAGAGAGAGAGAGAGGTCACTTCACATACACCTTGTCTTTAATCAAAGGTTCTAACGGCTGTTCGGGTGCTACTGGCGGCCGCTCTGCACATAAATATATTACGTTAAATAAAGCAGGGAGCACGTCAAAACCACGTGTGTGTGTCTGTCTGTGTGTGTGTGTGTGTGTGTGTGTGTCTGTGTGTCTGTGTGAGGGAGAGAGACTCGGCCGCCCTACCTTCAGTGCTATAGAGCTATCTCTGAGGAAGCACACCTCAGAGGTTTTACGCACCACTCTATGAATGCATCCCATCAGCACAGAGCGCACGTGCCCTCCGGACATAGAGCTGCTTGATTGGACAGTGGTTCTGGTTCACGGGCTCGAGGGAGGGTTTTGTGTTATTTAACCTGTTCGTCCCCTCAGACACTGTCTATTACGGGTCCAGTTTATGGACATCAAGCCTACTGTAGGCTACCACTGACATGTTATGTGACAAGAATAAGTGTTGATTGACCAAATATCTACAATATTGCCGTTTGAGGAATCGTTTTCGTTTATTGTGTTTTCTTTTTCGATTAAGGTCTTCAACTTAAAAATGAATCTAACTTGGTAAATAATCTGATGTTCTATGAGGTAGGCCTACTCCCCTCCTGGGCCTGTCACTCCGGAAGGAGGGGGTGGGGGGCAGCCTGGAGCTCCGCAGCGAGGATGATGATGATGGTGATTATGATGAAGAAGATGATGATGACGGCCATTAAAGTTCCTCTGAGCGCGTCAATAATGTCCCATCACTAAGGGGGGACTACTGTTTGAGTTCCAGAGCCCAGACATGCTGGGGCCATCCTGTCCGCCCTTTACTCTTCTTATCTCCCGCTGACGATGAGGAGGAGGATGATGAGGGTGCTGTCTTGGGGATCTCCACCTGCAGACACACCATCACAGTTATTTAGATTATGCAGATCAATTTCCTAAATCATATTTCCATGGGCTACCGCATGTTAGGAACTACAGCAGCCTTTGTCACCATGGAGATCGCTTTACTTCTGTTTGTGTCACGAGATATAGATTAAATATAAATAATTGTTATTATACCGATCTGAGTTCATGTCACACTCCGCAGCACGAGACTATACAGGGTGTGTGTGCGTGTGTGTGTTCATGTGGATGCTCTTCAATAGCATAATTTTCTTTAAACATTGTAAAATAAACGGAATAATGTCATGTTGTAGAGCAGGACCAACTATATATTTTAATGTTTGAAAAAATATTATTATTATTGATTTGATATTAGCTTATTTTTCTGGCAAGCCGTGTGGTTTCTTTAATGTATCATATATGTATATTACACACATATATATATATATATATATATATAGGCTAGCAGACGTTATTGTTGTAATCCCTTTCTTCTGGGTTCTGTCAGTAATAATAAGAAAACACTGAGCAAAGCTGTGAGCTGATAACGTAGTCAGCCCGTGCTGAGTTTGAAATGAACCAATAATTAATTTATATATATTTGTAAATGTTAAACAATGGATTTATTCGAGCGGCGAGTTATTTTGTGAACATTGAGCCCCTGAGGAAACGATGACTGCACTCAGAGCGTCACTCATGTTGTGACACTGAGCTCACATCTTCACAATGCTGCAGTCATCATCATATCTCTCTCTCTTCAAAGCTCAGAGTGTGCCGCGTTATGTCTCCTTACCGGCCACACAGCATAGCACAGCGCGGCAGCAGCGCCTCGTGCCGCCGTCACATTTGGTCTTAAATCAGAGTAAAGGGGTTCTTATGGAACCCGATCATCCCTGTAAAAGAGTTTAGCTCCCATATACCGCATTATGTAAATCAATAATTCAACACTCGGTAAAGCATATTTTAAGTACGTTTACTCTAACATCTAGATTTGTTTTTAAAATGTAGGGTTTCCTTGCTATTTGTATCGTAACATTATGAATATTTCGTCACCACTGCGCATTGTTTTTAAATGTGTCTTAATGCTGCAATATTGATTTTGACTTGGCTTTACTGCGCAATGGAAACGAGAACGCACAGACAACGGTCAGATGGAGTTCCATCAAAGAGAGCTGCTGTGAACCCGAGAGCTCTGACAGAAATGTGTGTATACACGCAGTAAAACTTGAGTTTGAGTTAAACTGTTACACTTTGAATTGTTAGCTTTAAAATACACTGTCCGGGTGCTGGTGATTTAATAAAGAGAAGGTCAACACAATGCGCGTGCTGCCGATCGTGTCAGTAAAATGACTGCAAAGATATTGATATACACACACATCCATCAGACATCCATCCCGTCCCCGTGTGCTTTTGATCTGCATATAGCTCTTCATATCTCCTCAGATCATATCGTGCTGTCAAACTGTAATATGAGGAGGCTTGCAATAAGAACAGCAATAATGGAATGAAGTGAAAATGGATGTGGAATAAAAGTGGATCCTACTAAATAGTTCAGGACTGCACCAACACACAGTCTTATGGATCTACACTGCGGTGTGTTATCATTCATGTTATTAGACATGTCAGCGTTATAAATTAAATTATATAAGAACATGTCATTTTTTTCCCATAAAATGATTTAATAAACATCTAAAATGTTCATGTAATTGAACAATTAAATTAAATTACTTGTTCTACTTTTAATTACTCATTCTTTCATTCTGTTTAACTGAGCGTTTATAAAGTATAATACATAAATATCATGTGCTCACGATGTCCTTTTATTAAAGCAATATCTCACTAATAAAACCGTTCTCAACAATCTTCAGTAGATGTTGTATATGTGATTTTAATTTTAACACAAAATATTTATTTTTCAGTCTTTTATCATTTCCAAGCCCTTTAACGTTATTTTCCAGTCCCAGTAAATGATGCAACATATACAACAAAAAGCCACCATCATGACAGAGAGAAATTACTAGTGAAATATTCACACTGCAACAAAAGGAACATGTATGCAGTAAAACATGCATTCTGTCGCCTATAGTCTATGATTTAATAATGTGACAAGTCTTATATTTTCTATCTTACATCATTTCAAATAATGATTTTACTAACTTGTGATAAATAATTCAGGTAAAGGTTGAAATCAGGCAGATACTTTTTAATTAGTTCAACAGTCTTGGTTTAAATCCACCAGCGTCCTGCCTCTCTGCAGTCCACACTGCATGTTCCATTTTGAGTCAGGCCACAGCTCAGCAACACACAACACAAGAGGGTGGAGAAAGTCAAACATCAAGGAAATGTAAAAGCTTCCATCCTAATTCTCCCTTGGAGTGTAGTCTAAACTCAGAGATCCTGAAATGACCAAGTGTATTACCTCCACCCCCCACCCCTATTTGCTAGCTTAGGGTCATCCTGTTAAATACACTTTAAATTCACTCGGGTTAACCACTTAGTCATTAATGTGAGAGCAAACTGAGGAGCATAAGCAACATTAAAGGCTTACTCTGAGGATCACACTGCACAGTGACTCCTCTGGTTCATGGTCCTCTGAATAAAAAGGATTTTTAAACAAATTAGGAATTCTGTCAACATATGAGATTTATTTTGATTCAACTGTCTCACTAAGCATGGGGACAGGACTGGAGTTTCATGACAGAGTTGACATGAGTTATTAACAGCACTACATCCTTCTATTAGTGATTGCAGTTTGAAATGTGAGGAAAAATGGCTCTCTGGCTTCAATTATGTCCCACACTTCCTATAGGCACCAGGCAACAGACAGGAAATGATTATTCTGTTGAATTCTCTTCTAGTCTATTCTGCTCTACCTGCTCTGTGTGGCCGTTTGTTTCGAACACTGCAGGTTAGCTCTGATCAGGGGATGATGAAGGCCTTTATAATGAGATAAATATGTCAAAACAACAGGCAGATTGTCAGGGCATTAAGTCACTGGTGCTGACTTCTGTTATACAATGGTATATTGCATTTACAATATCCTCTTTATTTTGTCTCCAATATATAATTGCAGAATAAAATATTTTTCTTTTTAAAATCGTTCCACTTTTGATCTTCTCATACAACTAATATCATCATGTTGTTATGTGTTTGCACCACAAGCAAATTCCTTGTATGTGTAAACGTACCCGACTCAATACTGATTCTAATGCAATAAATAAATAACTAAATTATGATTTTTCTAAGAATATAAAACAATTATGCAGGTTGGTGAACTATAAATAAAATAGCAATGTGATACTAGGCTGTGAAAGAGCGTGGCTTTAAATCTCTCTCGGCTGTTCCAAACACTAAATCTGAGCCTCTGTGGTACGCTGTAAAGTTGCATAATGTATATATATATACATAATATATATAAATATATATGGGCAGCACATGCACAGTCCTGAGGATCCCCCAGCAGTCTGTGCGGCCCCAGCATCACAAAGTGTTGCTATGATAATAGTTCTGGCCCCTGCTGGCTCCACTCTGTCTGAGGATGGCGGACTATTTTCTGGCTGCACTGTTAGAGAGACTTGATCATTCACACGTTTCCATTATTGTGTGAAATCTATATGTTTATATGGTTCAATAGTGTGGGGATGCAATATGTTTTACCCCTAGTAATCCAGTGTTAAGGAGTTACGTGTAAATTGTAAAAAGGGTAAACACACTCATATTTCCTGTTGACTCTCTCCTAAGCAGTCACCCCACATGCTTCATGGCTCCATAGCCATACGCACTCTTTCCCTCCTCTCTCCGGTGTAGCTGGACTTTATGCTAGCTTTTGAAAGCTCTGAGCAGCAGCTTCCTCACATGTCCGTGTGTGTGATTCATTCCATCGTCTCACTGCCTTGCCCCCGTGCGTAAAACAGCCTTCTGAGAGCTGGCTGTTCAAACGCTTCTCCTCAATAAATATATCAGATACATATTGCTCGTGAATCTCGGCCAATTGAGATACTTGAAATGTATTTGTTGTGGCTTCTTTGTCGTTATGGTGCTGATATATGAACAGTGGGAGAGCAGATCATAAAGCATTACAGGGAAGTTAAAGCAGTGTGTCACTCTGAGCTCCGCCGTGCAGCGGACTGCAGGCTGCCCGTGAAGGCACCACAAACTCTCCTTCTCTTAATAACCAAGTTTAAACATGGACATGTAGAGGCAGTGATGGCCGCTGACCTTTAGAAAACTGCCCTGTAGGCTACTTTCCGATCAAGTCATTGAACAGCTTCATATTTGAAAAGGCTTGATGTTTTATTTTAGAACAATTTGTTCCCGCTGCTCTTATTTGCACTAAAGACAAACATTTGAATAGGAACAAATAAATGTTGTGGATAATATGTCAAAAGTGATCTTAAATGTTAAAATTAGAGTTGAGCCATATTAAACTCTGTGTTGTGTTCTACGATTACGCACACTATTTTCAGATTGAACTGTCTTTTTTTAATGGCTTTTTTGTCTGATGCGAGCGTCAATGGCAATGAACAGAATCAATGTTTCTGTTGCACTTATTGTAGCTTTTCTTATTGGCCTCTACGGGAGCATATTTGCAGCCGGACGACTCCATTTAAGCTAAACGTTTTAGTATTGACTTCTTAAAAAATTGGGACTACAAGGCCCACTATAATAATAATAATAACAATAATAATAATTACAATAATAATAACAATCATGATAATAATAATAATAATAATAATAATAATAATAATAATAATAATAATAATAATAATAATAATAATAATAACAATATTATATTGAAGCTAGGCATTAGTTTATCTGTGTTAATCATCACAGACGGTAATAAACCCTCATCTGTTCTCTTGTGGCCTGTGAGGACACACTGCAGTGCCGAATATAAAGGCTCAGAGAAGACCTTTAATTCAAGACCCAATATTTTCCACTTCCCCAAAAAAACATTGTCCTCCTCTGCAGCCTGCTGTAGTTTCGGCTCTGCCTGACCTGAGCGGACTGTGTGAGCTTTATGTAATCTTATGCAGTTATTGACTGAGTTGTTATAGAAAACGGGCTCGTTCAGTCTTACCGCCTCTCTCTTCCGCCGCTCCTCCCGGGCCTCCGTCTTCTTCAGCTCGGCCTTGAACGCCTGCGTGTCCCCGTGCTGTCCGTCCTTGTCCAGGATGTCCATCAGGTAGGAGATGTAGCTGGTGGCCAGCCGCAGAGTCTTGATCTTGGACAGCTTGGTGTCCGCCGGCACGTTGGGGATGCACTCCCGCAGCTCCGCGAAGGCCGAGTTGATGCTCTGGGTCCGCCGCCGCTCCTTCCGGTTGGCCGTGGGTCTCCGCTTCACGGGCCGGGGGAGTGTGTGGGGGTGCATACCGACTGCCGCTCCGTTTACCGAGATGGCGCTGGCCCCCGGTACCAAGGCGCCGGGTCCGTAGTGGTGGTGGTGATGGTGGGGGTCCAGGCCGCCGGTGGACCCGCCGCCGCTATTGCCGTGGTACTCAGGGCTGTACCCGGGGGCGAGGCTGTACTCGGTGGGAGACACATCCGCGTGACTTATCAGCCAGCTCGTGAAGTATGGCGGAGCCCCGGTATCCTCGTGACACCGACCGGCCGCCGCCGCCGCCGCGTGCAGGGAGTAGTGGTGGCTGTCGTGATGGTGCATGACCGGGTGGTGAGGGAACCCCGAGACCAGACTCATGCTGACACACACAAACACACACTAACTCACGCAAACACACACACACACACACACACACACACACACACACACACACACACACACACACACACACACACACACACACACACACACACACACACACACTCCGACACACCGCTCTCTCTGCGGTAACTCTCCTCGCTATTTAACGCGGGTCCTGAGCAGAGGTTCGCATCCTGAAGGTTCTACCAGCTTCAGCCGGCCAGGCCCCACCGTGCGGGCCGGTGCTCCGTGCAGCAGACCCGCTGCTCTGTGTTCCGGCCTCTCGGTGCTCCGTGCGGCAGACCCGCTGCTCTGTTCCGGCCTCTCGGTGCACAGCTCCTCCTCTAGGACATGGTTCCTCTTCCTCTTCTTATAAAGTCTCAGCAGCACCTCCTCTCTCTTTATTTCTTACAGTCTATTCCTCTCTCCCTCTGCAGCTCTCATCCTCTCTGGAATCTCTGCAGCCTCAGAGCCGTTTGGCAAGGCAGGACCAGTCCGGGCAGACACCGGGTCACTACTGACCGGTTTGCACTGAGCCAGACTAAAACCAGCCTGTCTGCACGAGAGAGAGAGAGAGAGAGAGAGAGAGAGAGGGAGGGAGGGAGAGAGAGAGAGAGTCTGATTTACTACGTCATCGGTCCTACCGGGGAGGAGAAACTG